TATATATATATATATATTATATATATTATATTATATATTATTATATATTGTCATTATTATTAATATCTTTATTATTAATATTATTATTGATTTATTGGTACTATGATCGTTGATAATATCAAGGAATATTTATAGGAATGAATGTGGGGCGAGAGTTCGAGATAAGGAAACAAGTGAAGGAGAAAAAGGAACGCGTATTATATGTGTGTGACTGAGTGTCCGTGTAAGAGAAAGAGTGAGAAAGAGAGAAAGGAAGAGAGAGAATTTGGAAAAGAGAAAAAAAACGAAGAGAAGGAAGGAACGGTTAAACAATGCATGTCGCAATGACAATTGTATATTGTACCTAATACAGCAGCAGAAACGATTTTCGATTATTGAAAGAAGATACGTCGAGCGTATATATATACATATGTATGATATACACATATAATAATCTCGAAAAAGTTCATTTCTCATTCAACTGTTTGATTTTTCTGTCTTCTTTACCCGCTACGCCGTAAAAAAAAAAACTGTAATATATTCATATACATGTATACATACAAAAAGAAACCATGTACACGAACACGTACACACGTACAGGAGGACATCCACTTACCAACATATATATATATATGTAAGCATAGACACACATGCAATCATAATTATATATTATTGTATTAATAGTATTAATACGATCACATTATATATTTTACTATACTCTCGTATACGGTCGTGTATCGCGTATCTAGTACCTAATTCGTAAACGCGTCGCTCCGTACTTCGACGAAGAAAGAACTCTCCGGCCAGATCTCTTTCGAAAATTCGAGTCGATCCCCGATCCTATTGTTTACAAAGAATCGTTCATCCTCGTCGAAAGAAACTCGGCGAGGACGAGGCAAAGCTCGAGCCGAGCTCTTCAGCCCTGCACACCTATACTTATTTGTAATACGATACGAACAGGACACAGGGGAGGGGGGTAGAAGGGGAAGGAGAAGGCGGGAGAGTTCGCGCGTTCACGGTGACGAGGAGCCGTGATTCACTACTAAAAGTAGCAACGAGCGCAATGCACAAGCAATTTATTAATTAGTTAAACATAGTCGCGAGTCTCGATCGGCGCGCGCGCGCACGTTTTGGACTCTGTTCACGATTCGAAGGGTAGTTTTTTTTTTTTTTTTTTTTTTTTTTTTTTTTTTTTTTTTNCAAATGTCATCTCAATAGTCCCGGAAAGGAAAAGGAAAAGACCTGTGCTAAGCTGCTACGTATGTTCGTATCTACTTTCGAACGACGCTCTAGCAGAGCGGTACTCTCTCTAGTCTGTCTCGTTCCCGAAGTAGAACGCCTACCCTTCACTCGTGAGAGTCCCGTTCGGATGGCGTGCGAGTTGAAATCGCGCGTCGATCGAAGCCACGCTTCGAACAGAGATTCATCTCGAAGAGACGGCCAGACAGACAAGCAAACGAAACGAGCAAACAGAAGAGAGCATTCGAGAGAAAGATTTCGCGGGATTCGAAAGGGGGTAGTGGCGAATGTGCGCGTGAATGCGACGAGGAGAGAAAGAGAGATAGAGGAAGAGAGAAGAAGTGAGTAAAAGGAACACGTATGTGTGTGTATATGTGTATTGTATGTATCTATATGGACGAACGAGTGAGTTGCGTGCGAGAAAGGGACAGAGAGAAGAAGTGACAGAACGAAGCAATAAAGAGAGATAGAAGGGCAACTGCACCAAGGAGAGACCAAACTCGCTTAAAGAAAGATAATTACTTACTTGCTTTTTATTTATTTTAATTATTAATCATTGATTGATCGATTAATTATTGTATTTATTGACGCGGAAGATTGAGAGGCGCTGGGATTCGCGTTGCACGCGGAAAGAGAGAGAGAAAGATCGATCGATCCGACCACCCCTCTACCAGAAACGGAAAAGAACGGTTAAAATACATCGACGAGATACGAGCAATGAAAATATCTTACACGTCGAAGACGAATAATTCAATCCTTATTTAATCTTTATTTTGATAGGAAACAAACCGAGTTTGGGATAAAAGAAATCGGAGGAGACCACGGTGAGAAGCTGCCACGCACAATTACGCGATCGACGGATTACCAATCGGATTACAACCCTCTCCCTTCGACCGATGATCCTGTCGTCGTATACATCGAATCTCTCTATCACTTCTATCGGTGGAAACAAAGAATAAAACATAGAAAGAATGAGAGAGGGGAGAGAGAGGGGGGAGGGGAGGGAGAAGAAAAAACGATCGGAACGAACAAATATTAGAATATTCGTGCAAGCTCTCGCGTTTGCGGAGCCCGATCGAATCGCGCGGGACGAGGGGTGTGAAAAATCTGGTCGATCGCACAGACTCGAGAGCAAGAGAGATCTTCTCTTTCTTTCCGCTTTGTTGGATCCTCTTGAAACGGAAACGCGAGGAATCGCGACGATGGACGATTGTACGATACGTCGTCGGATACGGCGACGGACGGATTCTCATCGAGACCGATTTTGAAACGCATTGGCGGGCCAAGGGATGAGGAGGGATGGAAAAATGAAAAGAAACGAGACGAGACGAGACGAGACAGGACGGGGAAAAAGACCGTGACAATATATACATATATACATATATATATACATATATATATCTATATATATTTGCAAGATATTTTGCGAGCAGGGCTTTTTTATCTATTTTATAGTAATCTCAGCTTAAATGGATTGAGAGAGAGGGAGAGAGTGAAATTGTTTTGCTAAACAAAAAAAATAATGAAAAAAAAAAAGGAATAAATATCACAAACACGATGAACAATAAACAGGAGGACGAAGGAGGGGATAGGAAGTAATGTAAAGAGAGAAAGAAAGAGAGAAATATATATATACATATATATATATATATATATAAAATTGAGACAAAATGGATAGGAGTGAAGAAAGGGGGGGGGAGAGAGAGAGAGAGAGAGAGAGAGAGAGAGAGAGAGAGA